GCTTGGGTGCTTTATTGAATAAATACAAGGTTTAAAAACAGGGTTAAAATTTCCAGCTGCCAACCATTAACAAGCACAGCCTGGGATCAGGCTCCTTACTTGAAAAAAGGCCTAATAATGAGGAAAGTGCAAAGAAAGTAGCAAACCAAGCAAGGACTTTTTTGTACACTGTTCATGTATCCCCTTCTAAAATGTAAACTCCAAAATAGCTATATCTTACACAAACCGTGGACCCCCACTTCTGACTCCTCTCACACACCACCATTCCACTATCAGTTTATCAGAAATACTGAGGTGGAATCTGTTCCAGACCTTTTCTCAGTGTTGTGTGAACCGTTTAATGGGCATAAGAATTTTACACATTTAAGAAATGCTGTTCCATGATATTGAGTTTAAAAGGGTTTTCGAAATGGCTGCCATAATATTATCGCTCCATTCTTTACCCTGTGAGCAGAGGCTACAATTTCGCTGTGTGGGCTGGCGTGCGAAAAGTAGCCTCTGCCGACAACCATTCAAATCCGTCCAGAAATCTGGACAAATAAATTTTAAAAACAGGGTTTTTTCCTGTTCTTGACTGGTTTAGAGCATTGCGTGAGTCTTGCGTAGCAAATCGGAGTTGCCGTAATTTTTTATTCCCGCGAAACTCACGCCATTTGACGACAGACCTGACGATTAATTTTGCTTGCGAATCGCGTGACAAATTTTGCGCATGCACGATAGGAAATTAAATGGTTGTCGGCAGAGGCTACTTTTCGCACAACACGTACAGCTCATTCAGCGAAAATGTAGCCCCTGCTCGCAGGGTATCCATTCTTTGAAAACACTGTTTAAAAATATCTCTTGTGGACATATTTAATTTGTTTTTTTAGTGCTTGAGTGTTGTGTTTGAGAATTTAAATTAGTGAGTTTAAATCAAAGCTATCCATCGAGACGAAAAAAACAAAAATAAAAATACTGATCTCCACCTTTGAGCAATCGTAGAGAAATGTACCCCCCATTTTCAACTACTTTATAGATTATTATACCTTCCCATATCCCTCAAGGCATGCACCTGCTTAGCTATAATCAACAGACAGTCAATAACTAAAAAAATCAACTATAGTATTAAAAAAGGCAAAGACAAAAGCGACATGAGTTAAATAGTCGTTTTTGTCACATGACAAAAACGACTATTAATTTTTGTTCAAAATAACGGATGTTCTAAATCTTATTAAGGTTAATTGCCACAATAAGATTGCAGAGCTTGTAGCTCTACAAATAACCAGCAGCAACATAGAAACTTTACATTCTGATTGAGACTCCTAGTGTAATGCTGTTGCATTTGGAAACAATCAAACAGACGTACTCACATAGTCGCTTCAGCATCTCGAAAATAGACTTTCTTGTGGCATCTCGCACAACAAGGATAGAAAAACTTGTCCCTTATTGACACAACTGTGGCTAAAACTAACACAGTTCGTGTTGTCATCAATGATACAACCCCTCACAACACCTTTTCGAAAAAACATTCAAGAAAACCGGTACAAAATAATAAATTTGTGCAAATTAGTGTCGCATTCCTGCAGACCGAGAATCCAAAATGGCGCTCGTTTTATTACTAGCCAATCACGTCTCAGTTGGGCCCAGTCTAGTTGGCGCGGCATCAGATCATCGTCCCAACGAAAGCAGCTTTCGCCCTGGTTTTCGCAAGGCCTGAAGTGCATTCGCCTGATGTGTATTTGTCGTTTTTTGAGCCTGAAAAAGGGAATAAGCGAGAAAAGCCACTGACTGTGGAATCCAACCCAAATATAAATACCTCTGATAAGTATGTTCACCGACTGTTGTGTTGTATGTTCCTAGGCGAATTTGCTTGAGTCCGAGCGAAACAGAGTCCAGCGAATTGACTTTCGGGTTTGTGCGAAAGGTCCCGAGTTCGAAGAACTTGGGTTTGTTAGAGGTGACTACTACGAGCTAAAAGTACCCACAGGTAACCCAAGCGCAATACGAGAGTTCGTAGGGGTGAGCATTCATCTATTTGGTGTACGTTCTTTATTTTATGCTTGCCATGACTTAGCTGTGTATGTACACTGACGTGGAAGTATAAGATCCCTTAGTTCTATTGGAGTAGTTTTAAAGACTTGGCACAGAAAAAGTTAAGAGCTGTGATCAAGGGAGGTACTTATGAATTTTTAGTTGTGTGGCACGGGAATGGTAGCGGGAGGGGGGGG